AGCTAAGGAGATGGTGCTATCAAATCACTTCAGAATGAATTGTGCAAAATGTTAGAATCTAAAAATATATCTTTATATATTTGTCAATTGGATTTGAATGACGCGTAAAGAAAAAGAAGGTGATTAATCACATATATTATCGAAAATACTGGCGGTCTAGATACAGTGATCAATAATAGTATAGTAAAAACAATAGGAGCATTTGATAAAAAAGTCATCAGGAAAAAGTTCAAAATCAATTTTCATGACGTGATCATACTCAAAAATACGTCATTACCGATCCTCTCGTAAAAGATAAAAATTGCTATATTAGTAGTGTTGCCGGGTTCACTATAGGATTATCCGGATGATATCATCAGAAGTAAGTATAACCAAAAAAGCTTGATCATTTACTGATGAATATTGAAATCTGTGATAAAGGAGACCATAAGGGAAAAGGATAGAAAGAAGCTGCGTATAGCTAGAGTGAAGCATACGATATTAAATACCCACGCATTTTCCGTTGAATTACGAGAAAGTGAATACAAGATCACAATCGATCACTATCAATTGCTTTTGTCTGGGATATGCAAATACCACAATGACGTAAGGAAAAAGTATACTTATTCCCTATCAACGTGCTATAATACCCGTCATATTTGCTTTATGAGATCTTAACGGTCGATTTTGAACGGACGATCAAGCGGTTATTTCAAGATTAAAAAGAATAGAAGTGGTAGATGATTTCAGATAAATTGCGATTATATATATTTTTATCACTTAAGATGATCCGTCATACAGTAAGAGTTTTGTTATTTGAATCAAGAATACTTTATAAAACTTATCCGGTCGATGCGGGGTAAAATTTTTGATGGTACTAAAAATTCGATATTAGAAAGCATATAGAGTTATATATTCCTTAATCCATCTTTAGTAAATTTACATGATCTGCTGTTTATGTCGGTAGATCCTAGTCTTTACTGCACAGATTCAAAAGTCACTATGCAGAGATTGCCAAAGCTGTGTATAGCGGTTGAACACAAGCGACGTCTTGAAAGCTTTTTTCATCGGTATGCCGCATTCGAGTTAGAAAAAGAAGGTTCCTTGTCCTTTCTGCCTGCAAACATTCTTACAGCACCATCGCAAGGTAAGCGGTTTCTGCATTCTGGCCAGAAATGTTGATACGATTTTGACCGCTTATTCTTCCCTCTAAAGAATCGAACTGGGTTTGCGCAATTTTCGAAGCATTTCTGTCATGCCTTTTAGGAACATATCGAAAAGACAAAAGTTACCTGCATTTCCGCGCAGAGATCAGTCTGCCTGCTGTGTCCTATATCGGACTCAACTCCACTCCCTGTATGGAACAGGCCCAATCCTATTCACAACAGGACAAACTCCGTCCCAATCCTTCTGTTGCACCGATCGCCTGCGCTCTACACAATACGTATCTCTACTACGGCATTCTGTGTGGAAGTGACCAAAACTCGTGAGTTCTCTGACAAATTGGTGAACTATCTTGAATCATACGAGCTAAAGCATATATCCACTGAAGACTTGAGCTTCAGAAGATCAAAGATGAGTACAATCGCCTGTATACGCTGTATCTCAAAGAGGTTGCACGACTACTACAATCAGGGTAAGTGTTGTCCTAACTTACAAATCTCGTTGTTGCGGCACATTCTTACATTTTTTCCGAATTCTTGTTCTTATTGAAAAAGAGTTCCAACTCAGAATCTAAAAAAGCAAAAGTAAACATTTTTTTCTTGGAAGGCGAGTAATTTTGGAGGCTTCTTCATACCAAAACATTGTTTGCAAGAGATTCTGAAAGTAAGTAATATTATTTCCCTCTCATTACAAAGAAGCACAGTATACTTATTTTAGTTTACTTATTTCTTTCTAAGCGCTGCAAAGTCGACAACGATACTCAACAGCCTCTGTTTTTATCGACACAATTGCTAGTAGGAGGAATAAGTGAAGCAGTAAGTGTCATAAACGTTCTTGAAAGCCGATGCTGCATTACTGATAGCCATAATCCTCCAGACTGATTTATTTCTCAGTATGCCTCAATCGTATCAAAAGATGTATGGTGGGTTGAAATTACTTCTAAAAGATCTGGATGTGAGTTTTGGACTTCAATTGCTGCTCGTCGAGTCCCTGAAAACTTTGCAATGGCAACAGACTAACCTTGCTTTATTCTCAGATCCATCTCCAATTCCATTCAATCTTCCATCGCACAAAGTGGCTTTTAAAATTTGCTGATCGGCTCATTAGATATCCTCCAAAGGAAAAGTTAGCCAAGAGATTGTAAGTTTCACTTACTCAAAGATGTTCGCGCGCAGTTTACTGATTATAAATCTGGCATCATCCGCTCAAATTCGCAATCGAGGAACACAGCAGATCAACCTCTCGATTTTTGGGAAAAGAGAAGGATGTTGGGGAGCTACTAATGGGCTGCTTACCCTTTTCTCGGTAGGGTCGCGCAATCATAGCTTTTCTAAATGATGGGGAACGCCTGCCTTTACCTTTTGCCGATGATGTAAGAACACTTTTTTCAAGGGTGAATGGGGAAAAAGAATTTGTGAGTATATCTGGGAATTTATTACCTTGCCGTTGGTATAAAGCTCACTTCATCTGCAGTTCTTTCTGAAATTAGATTTCGGTTCCAATCAACCATTGTGGGAAGTACCAGGTTTACCTGCAGATATGGTAGAATCTTTGAAAGGCGTTGGATTGATGATCTTCTCCACTTCACTAGGCAGATGGGTTCAAGTCTTTGCTGATTTCCGTCTGGGAACTGAACTGTCGAAGTTTACTAAGCTGGCAAGCAAAGCTGTATTAGAGGGAAAAGCACAATTCCAGACAGACGCTCACGATGTATCCAAACTCGCAGAGCTAGTACCAAGCGCCGAGCTTGACGAAGATGATCCTGCATTCAAAATTCTTCCACGAACGCTACCGTCTAATTCATCGCGGAGAATACACACTTATGGTCGTGGCAGCCCGAGGATATTCATACCTATAAAAGTGGTGTCTAAATGGTTTTCAGAACTCAATTATCCCAGCGGACAACGAATATCTGTCAAAATTGAAAGGAAGACAGCAAGAACAGCAGACGAGGTCAAAATTTTAGTCAGACTTGATAGTAGTGATGTCGGTCAGAATCAAGGGATTTGGTATAATATTCTGAGTTACACTAGAAGTCAAAAACCTACAAAAGAGATGTGGAATTATATCCAGCGAAAGCAGAAAGCTAGCAAGTAGTCTGATGGAATTTCTTCGACCGAAATCAAACGAATCATCAAGCTGTGTCACTAGTGTCTGATTTTATTCATTGCGTCTTTTCCAAAACGGGACCGCTCCTTTTACATTTTTCTTACTCAAGGCGGTGTATAATGCTATTTGATAGTCTCGTTCAAGACCTACGTGTCATGCAACTGCGCCGTCTTTCGTCTTCTAGACTGATGAAAGCTACTCATGAAACATCTGAAGAACATTACGAGATTTTACTTGACCTTGTACTCATGTTCCCGAATATTGTATAATGGAAGATTAGCAGCTTGTTTGTCGAACATGGTGTCAGATTGGTGAATTACGATACAGCGCACGATGTCTTGAACGACTTGTGCCTCTCTTCGATGATGAAAACATGTTGTGCACAAAGTCTGTCACAAGGTTTAGACGCTGAATCTTATTTTCGTTACTACATAGGCTGAGCATTACATTAAAAAGACTTTTTGGCGAACGCTATCGTCTGGTTTCACACAAAAAATGTCGGTCGCTTGAATGTTTCTTGTCTTGACGGCTGGCACCCGAATGAATCAAATTTTCACAAGCTTCTCCTACTTCAAGAGATGGTTTGCCTTGCGTAGCTTTAATAGTCTGCTAGACGTGATTAATGACACTATGAAATGCATGTGCGTTTTTCTTGGGAAGAAAGTGCCGAATAGAGAGGACGTTAGAGAATGATGTAATTGAAATATGCTATGGGTACTATTCAGTCTCATGATGAATCATGAAGTTGCCCGCCAATGGCAGACCTCCTACACAAAGACAAGGACGTGTCTCTAACGCGTGTAATTTTTTTTAGAAGGCGCACATGTCTACCAGACGCAAATCAATGCACAAATACAAATACAAATACTCTAGCTAAAGCGATTGACGCCCACGTTCAAATCGATTCATCGTCGGAAGAGCTTAACTTTGAGCGAATTTTATGCCTATATCATAGATTTGCCCACCACATATTATCCGGTAGGTACTGGTAGAAGGGATTGAAGAGGAAGAACAAACACATTTTCATCAAAAAGGGGCCAAAAATTGTTCTGGCAGCGAGATGTGTCTATGTCGACAATTAGCTAGACCTGCACCTGTTAACAATTTTTCCTGGGCTTACAAATAGCACACAACGAATAAGAAAACGCCATTTGGCAACATTTTGGACTTTTCCATTTCAAACCCTTGCTATGGTGCTACAGCATCTTGTCGACTTGACTCTCTTCATCAAGATTTCGCATTTCTCTTTGTAATTCCTGAATGTAGCGCCAAATTGCCGCCGGAGGCAAACCATCTTTTGCATATCGTAGCGCATTACACCATCTACCTGCATTGTCACTTTGTCCTGTGCTGTCAAGACGAAGAAATATTTTCACCTCTTCAGGTGATCTGGCTCTCTTAGCTTCAATTTTTACAGAGAGTGGAAGACCTTGCCGGTAGGTTCCATCTGGAAACCACATCCTTAACATCCTTCTCGGAATGAGGATTGTAGGCGATCTTTGACCTCGTACACCAATCCTTGGCGATTATCCTTTTAAGGGTAAAGTTCTTTTGGAAATTTGGCATTCTGGAACATCTTCTTCATCGTCTGATTTAGCCTCGGAAGTATGGTTTGGAGCTTTATGGTCGTTGTCAAACGTGCGCGATTGTCTTGCGATAATGGCTGCTTGGCCAGCAAATACAGTGAAACGCGAGACGACCTCTCTAAAGCGAAAATTCGCTGATATTGGAACCCATGTATTCAAAGTAGTGGAATATAGCGACATGCCCACTCCTTTGAGAGGGGCGCTTACCTCTGCTGAGAAGCTAGTACCATCCCACAAAGGGCAAGAAAAGCCCAAAATAAGCTTAACAAAGTACTAGTATACTAGAAAAGTTAGAACCAAAAATTGGCAAAGAGTTTCTAGAGGAAACTTACAAATTCTTTCTTCCCTGTCTTTCGTTCAAAGTACTTTCTTGTCTGTGGTGACACTGGAACTGTGGTTTTCTTTGGACACACAACGACAGTCTTGCCTTGTATTGAAGCCGGAAGATCGCCCTCGATCAACTCTCTGTAACCGCTCTTTTGAGTCACTATGCCTGACAACCCTTTTTGCTGATCTCTCAGCATGGTACTACTCGCAAAGATGTTAAGTAAAGGGATTGTGTTTCAAGCTTACTAATCCTACTTCTCCTGAAAGCACTTACAAACCTCTGTCGTCCTCCTTGCTAGAGCCGCAATGAAGCAACCTTTCTGCCAGACGCACTTGCCATTTTCTTCGATGGAAATTTGTTTCGAATCAGAGAAAGAGCTTTTAAAGAAGAACAGTCCATTTATATTTGTTCTTTTGTTACTTCCCGGACAGTTTGACGTATTGTAATCCACATCCAAATCTTTCAATTTAAAGCTCCAACCCGCCATGGATCTCAAGGTATTTCGGGGAAGTGTCGTGGAGTGTCGAGAAATATATCACTCTGTTGGTATCAAAGATTGTGATGTATAAGCTGATATTTCTAGCCGCTTGTTCTCGACGTTAATCGACTCACCTTTGAATCTGGATCTCCGATGAGCAATTGAAGAGAGACAAATAAGGGCAACTCATTATCTTTATTGAGATTCGCTGCCTGCAAACGGATGACATTCAGAGCTTCACTAGTTTTAACTTGTCTATTTGTCTTTTTTCTAAAAGTTCGGAAAAATTTACCTTCAGGATGTTTTCCATTTGTTTTCGTGGTAATGAAATGTCGTCCAAAATGGCTGTTATCAACCTACAGCACGCTTCTCTCGATTTACGAGTCTGTGTTCTCACAAGCCTCAAGTGGTACTCGCTAGCAGTCGAGAAGTATTGGCATCTGTCATTTTTGGGCACAGCAACTATTCGCGCAACACTCAACCTTAATTTAGCAATCTTGCTACCTCTATCATACATGCGGCATAATTGTGGCGGTAGTCTTGCTCTACCTCCTTTTTCGATCCTCATTTAGTGCAGCAAAATCGCGACTACTTCTCGAAACGAAATACTGTAAATCTAGCTTCTTTATTCGGCGAACTACAAAGACTTACTTAGTCTTCCTTGCGAAGTAGATCAATCCGTACCGTAAATACAAATTGCGAAGTTCAAGTATCATTGGAAAAAGGGTGGGGTTTGCAACATTTTCGGCATTTTTAGTTGAAGCGTTCCAGTCTCTCCATACAAGTGGTGGAGTTGTAATCAATGTGACTGGCCAGTGGCATGCCAGAACCGGCCTGAAATTCCAGAAAAGCTTGTTTCAATAGGAATTCGCCCGTGATGCAAGAGAACAAAGCCTCAATTACTGCGACATGGTCATGCGCGTCTATTGCGATTGTAAAGAAAAGGTCGTGTGAGTGAAAGTCAGGTAAGCTCTGCGAAAAGTTTAAGGAGGAAGTCACCCTGTGATATTAGATTAGAATTGATTGACGGGATGCAATACAGCTCTCCGCCGTAATGAAGCTCTCGCGCCGCAGATTGATAGAAATGCAATTCGATGCGCGCAAAAGAATCTGAGGTATGCGTTGCGATGGCAAGATTGATTTGATGATCTTTCAATCTTTGTTGCATTGAATTTGTTCGCCCAACTTAGACTCCTGCTACCTCGTCATTCTTGTTCGTCGTCAGCACGAGGTATGTAACCCCTGCCGTCCGTCCCTACCTTACTGTTGTGTGCCTTGATTTCGGCTTTCCCTAGCACCGAAAGAGATAGAATTTCTTCTCTCAGAATGCGGTTGAGAACTGACGCTGCAAAGTCTTCAAAAAGTCTGGAAAAAGAATGTAGCGGTCTCGATCCCAGAATGAACATATCACGAACAGAGGTCATCCTCCGTAAGCGCAAGACTCATTGACAAGTGTCAATAGCTATTCCAAAGGCGTGCAAAAGCATTCAACGCCCTATATTCCGCCTCCGTAAGCATCGTCGAAGGCTTATGTAGCCGAAGATACTTAAATGGTATGTACTCAATTTGGCAATCTGGATGAAGTTTGCGCGTAGCGAGTCGTATGATATCGATGATCGCTTCGCCTTGGGATTGTCTGTTACCTGGCACGATCCTAGTCTCGAATTGCAATTTTCTGCTCTCAAAGTGTCGCTCTGGCCCAACCAAGAGCGGCTCGTAGTGACGTTGTACGGCAAAAATTTTTGAAATTGGATTTGTCCCTGCGCGATCATCTTTAGCATCGTCTGCTTCATTCTCATAGACCTCATCAACAACAACGTCCAGAACTGTATCATCACTATCGTTCTTCTTGAAAACCTTCACTGCAGAGCTCAATCTCATCTTCTTCGAACATTCTCTCCATAATTGTTTGCCGCGTGAAGTGTGGAAAGCGGTGAAATACTACTGTGTTGGTGATAGAGGAAGGCTGTGCGGAAATGAGTGAATTTCGTGTGCTAGTAGTGTTGTGAGAAGACTCTAACGATAATTGCACACTCTTTATATGGACTGAGTTAATGACTGGAAAATGAATCCATAGGGAAAAACTACAAATTAGCTTGTTATTGCAGCAATCCCTTTGTTCAGATCTTGTATCCCTTTCCTTTCAAGATCAGAGTATCCAAAATGCGGAGATTGTGCCTTCGTTTCATCTTTTCACAATTTCCCTTTTAGTTGTCCTTCTTCACACTTTATTCTGATATTCAGTGATCAAAAAGGAAAAGAATCAAATCCGCACAGCTGAACAATAGGACAGATCTCCGCTGTGATCTTCCTACAACATCTTCTCTAAAGACACGCGATGAAGTGCTTCGCGGAAACCATCCATTTCGTTCCTTTTGTGAACATATGCAGCAGTGTGCGAGGTTGAGGCCACTTTCCTGTTAAAATGTCTGTATTTAGATAATGAACAAAGCAACAAGCCACCCAAATCTCGTTTCAACATTTATTTCCCTTTGTAAGGTTTCAAAGAACAAAGGGTTTTTAATTAAAATTGTCTGCAAATCCCACGCGTGATTGAGTGCAATGCCAAGAAAAACCAATCTCTCTTTTGTCCCTCGTTTCTTTTCGTTTTTTCTTATTCTGATATAATTGCAAAACAACGAAAGGCAAAGTTGAGGAGCAACACAAAGCACAGATGTGCTGTTCTTTCTGCAAAACATTCCGGAGAGAGTGTCAAGATATGACCTGACTTCTCACGTGGGTGATTTCAACAGAATACTTGCAATACACATCATCTACGGTTGACAAAGGCATGCTCAAAGGTCCTAAAAAAGATACAGAGAGTGTGTTGAGTATGATGGAAGACAAACAATATGTTACAGTCCCAAACCAAA